GTTGTTCCGCTGGTTGGCCGGCTTGACCGTGACGATGAGGTTGTGGCTGTTGGCGATCATCATGTCCGTGACCTGGTCCAGCGTCTTCCCCGCCACCTCGATGCCATTCACCTCCAGCACCTCGTCGTCCACTGCCAGAAGCCCGGTGCTCTCGGCCAGGCCCCCCGGCACCATGCGCGAGATGAAGATGCCCGGCACCTTCTCCAGCCCCTGCGGCGCCACCCGCACGCTCATGCCGTCGCGGATGTAGAAGCCCAGAGGTTTCTGGCAGCCGTGCCGATACAGCCTCACACGCCGGTGCGTCTCGGGCAGGATGTCCACGTCGATGATGGAGGACACGGTGCGCCGCGAGAGCGAGCCGGTCGCCAGGCCCTGCTCGGCCTCCTCTGGAAGAGAAGATGAGAGTCAGGACCGAGGACGCCGGTGACAAAGCGCAACAAAACAACGCAGCTACCTGGAGCCCGGGCTGCATCGGTGCATCTCGGCTCTTCCTGCTGCTCACCTTTCAGCCGCTTCTCACACTCCCCACGGGACCCCGGGGGCATCGGAAGAGTGGGCACCACTAACCCCAGCCCCCCAAGTCTCAGTCTCTCTCTCTCTCTCTCTCTCTCTCTCTCTCACACACACACACACACACACACACTTCGGAGCTGAACTGTCAGTTCCTTCTGTCACACTTCCCTGTTCTGGAAAGTATCAAATAGCCTCGGGGATGATGTGCGCACAGCCATCCTCGTAGCAGCGGGGCTGGCCAAACATATTCACCAGGCAAATGTTTGAGGCCAGGTTCAAGTACAGCCACGAACCTCCAATTGACTTTCTACAAATCTCAAAACGGCCCCACGGCAACCAATGAAACGGTGGAAAGATTACGAGGTACTAACAAGACACTGCGATAAAGAGAATTAACAATAGACGGAAGGGTTAGGAGTGCCTGTCAGGATTCTGGGAAGATGGTGGAGAGGAAGTACCAGGAATTTCTCCCCAGCAGGACAACTGCAGGGGCAGCCCCTGTCTGATGTCACCATTTGGGAACTCTGGAGTCTGTATCGAAGGTCTGCAACTTCAAGAAGACGAGTTGGACAGTGATAATGGTCCATTTGGGTAAATTCCATTGACTAGCACAGTGAGGCTGCCCATCCCCCGCCCCAACTCCCTGGCAGGCAGCTGTGCACGTGGTTTCGTACACAGCAGCTCATACAGACTGTGGAAGCCAATGTGGTCAAAAAGACTCTGTCTTCCAAATACTGGGAGTCGGTGCTGAGAGAGGATTGCTGCTTCTGGCTAAAGAGATGCAGACAAAGAGGTGGGTAGCCATTGTCGTTGCCCCTCCCCCTCGGTATGAAGCCCCTCCCCGGCTAAAGTGGCTTCTGTGAGATTTAAAGGGAGAATGCCGGGAGCCAGACATTAAAGTCTAGGACATTCAAAAACAACTGGCACCTTGGCCTGGTGGCTCAGTTGGTTGGGGTGTTGTCCAGTGAACCAAAAGGTTGCGGATCCAATTCCTGGTTAAGGCACATACCCAGGTTGCCCATTCGAACCCTGATGGGGGTGAATACGGGAGGCAGCCAATCTCTATTTCTTTCTCTCGTTCCTGAGTTTCCCCTCTCTCTAAACTCGATGGAAACATATCTTCAGGTGGGGATTTTTTTTAAAAATCACAAAAACAACTGCACATAGAGGAAAATTACAAAGTGGCAACACATTCCCAGAAAAGACCCGAGGAAACATCTCAGGCTCATCCGAGGCACAGAGAGAGCCTATAAAAAAAAATAAAAATAAAATAAAAAGACTAAACCAGCAAACCCTGGGGAAGGGGGAGAATCTGATTTCCAGAGTTAAGTTATTAGATCCAAATGTCCAGTGTTCAAGAAAAAACCCACAAGATATTCAAAGCAACAGGAGAGTATGTTCCATTAAAAAAAAGAAACAAGCCAGGCAAGACCAGAAAGCAAGGTGTAAACAAAATGGAAATATCACTAAATGATAGAAAACCTAAGAGGAAACCAAATAGAAATTCTGGAGCTGAAAGGTATATATAACTGAAGTACAAAATTCACTAGGGGGATTCAAAGTCAGCTTTGAATAAGCAAAAGAAGAAATCAATGAGCTTAAGATAGGACAATATAAATTATTATTGCTGAGAAACTGAAAGAAAAAAATTAGAGAAAAGTGAATGTATGGTGCCTCAGGGACCTGTGGGACACCACAAAGCACACTGTAAACAATAATAAAAATGGAGTCCCTTTAAAATGGAGCCGGAGCTGCCCTCCCAAAGGAACTGCCTTGCATATCTTATGCCTCAAATCTTACATATTAAAGCAGGGCAAAATAACTTTGGACTGGGCCTAAGCAATTTTGAGCCCCCCATTGTTTGCAAAGATAACAAGAAAACAGTTATTATGACTACTAGATTGATGGCTACTAGACTGAAAATTGAAAGCATTATTTAGAATTGGCGTCACTATGTTATGTTATCTGCATCTATAGAAATGCCTTCCTTCTATGGATATAATTGTTCCTCTTCCCTTTCTCATAAATACTCATTGCCTTTGTCTCCTAACCAGAACACTATTTGGGCTTCTACCTGAATCAGTGCTTCCTGAATAGCTATTCTTATTACTCTCAAATAAACATGTGTTTGCTTCTCATTTTGAAAGGCCTTTTATTTTTAGGCTAACAAAACCAACATGTGCATCATGGGAGTTCCAGAAGAAGAGAAAGGGATGGAGAGAGAATATTTGAAGAGATAATGCCTGAAACTCTCAAATTTGATGAAATGCATGAATATAAACATCCAAGAAGCTCAATGAACTGTATGTAAGATGAAGTCAAGGAGACCCAAACTGAGATACATTACAATCAAAATTTCAAAAGACAAAGAGAAATCTTAAAAGCAAGAGAGAAGAGAGTCATCACATACAAGGGAGCATCAGTAAGATTATCTGCAGATTTCTTAGCAGAAAATTTGGAGAACAGAAGGCGGTAGGCTGATATAGTCAAAGTGCTAAAAGAAAAAGAACTGTTTCCCTAGCCAGTTTGGCTCAGTGAGTAGAGCATCGGTCTGCAGACTGAAGGGTCCCGGGTTCAATTCCAGCTAAGGGCATATGCTTGGGTTGCAGGCTCAATCCCCAGTGTGGGGGGTGCAGGAGGAAACCAATCAATGATTCTCTTTCATCATTGATGTTTCTATCTATCTCTCCCTCTCCCTTCCTCTCTGAAATCAATAAAAATATTTTTTTTAAAAAGAATCCTTTAAAAAAAAAAAAGAAAGAAAAAGAACTGTCAACCAAGAATCTTACATCCAGCAAAACACTGAAGGGTCCCGGGTTCGATTCTGGTCAAGGGCATAAAAAAAAAAAAGAAAGAAAAAGAACGGTCAACCAAGAATCTTACATCCGGCAAAACTGTGAGAAATCCAGATATTCCCAGATAAAAGCTGAGGAGTTTGTGAGCACTAGATCTATCCTGCAAGAAATGCTCAAGGGTGCCCTAGCCAGGGTGGCTCAGTTGATTGGACATTGTCCTGTGCACCTGGGGTTTGCCAGTTCGATTGTGGTCATGGTACATGTCCAGATTGCAGGCTTGACCCCCAGTAGGGGGTATGCAGGAGGCAGCAGATCAATGTTATGCTCTCACTTCGATGTTTCTCTCTCTAAAAATCAATTGAAACTACATAAAAAAATCTTAGACATAGACACATCAAACAGACCATCAAACTTCAGAGGGAAGGCAGGAGGGGGATGGGGGTCAGAGATCAACCAAAGGACTTGTATGCATGCATATAAGCATAATCAATGGACACAGACAGTAGTGGGATGAGGGCCTGTGCTGGGGGGTGGGAGCGGGCTGGAAGAAGTCAATGGGGGGAAAAGGAGACATATGTAATACTTTTAACAATAAAGAATTTAAATTAAAAAAATAAAAACATAAACATCTTTTTAAAAAATGCTCAAGAGAGTTCTGTAGGTCAAATGAAAGAACAACTTGAAGATAGCAACTTGAAGCTGCCTGGGGGAATAAAGATCTCAATAACAGTAAATACGTGTGCAGTTATAAAAGCTAGTATTATATTATTGTAACAATGGTTTAGAAATGCACTTTTTGTTTTTCCATGATTTAAGAGACAAATATATTTAAAGGAAAAAATTATTTGTCTAAAAAATAGTATTACTGTTACTTTGGTTTGCAATTTCAAATCCTATTTTCTACATTACTTAAAAGACTAAAGCATTTACAGGAATTATTAATTTACTAGACCCCCAGCGCATGAATTCGTGCACAGCTGGGGTCCCTTGGGGTTGGCCTGCAGGCATCAGGCCGAAACCCGCAGTCCAATCCTGCCTGCTGCTCCTGCCTGCTGCTCCCACTCATCCCGGTCCCGCTGCACCTGCCTCGGGCTCGTGCCCAGTCAGTCCCGATCTGGAGAGGCTCACACCGCCACAGCAGTGCTCTACAGCCATGAGTCCTGCATGTGGCGCCTGTCCCGAGCAGGGGAGGGCGGGAAGCGATCGGCCCATGTGGTGAGCGGTGGGACACCCTTGCCGGTCTGGATCCATCCTGCTAATGTTTGCACCGGTTGTCGGGAGCCACCTGGCAGCCACTTTTATATCGTTTCTTCCTCGCGGAGCGTCTAGGGAGGGGAAGTGGCCACAGTGCCCGAGGCCGACTTACAGGAGGCCGGAGGTGCTGTCAGGATTGTGCCAGCAGCGCAGGTCCATCGGTGCCTGGCTCGTTCTCTAGAGATTGGTCCTGCAGGACTACTGAGGGAGTAAGTGGCTGCCACTGGGCTGGTGGGCTGCCAAGACTGGTAGGTCAGCTGAGCAGTGCTCCCGCTGTGGGAATGCACTGACCACTAGGGGGCAGCTCCTGTGTTGATCATCTGCCCCTGGTGGTCAGTGTGTGGCATAGCGACCAGTGTCAACTGGCTGACTGGTCCACCGGTCATTTGGTTGCTTAGGCTTTTATATATATAGACAGGAGTCAATAGAGCAAGAAGATATAGCAATTATAAACATTTACACATCTACTGACAGCAAAAACTGAGAAAATTTAAAGAAGTGAGTTCTATAATAGTAGTTGGACTTCAATACACTACTCACAAAAATGACCAGAGAGAAGATAAGTAAGGAAATAGAAAACTTAACACAATAACCCACTATATCTAATGGACTTATACAGAACGCTCCACCCAACAACAACAGCTCCAACCACTGAGCACACCATCCAGGGCCAAATTGATTACTTAGATGAAATGGACAAATTCCTAGAAACTCAAAACCTACAAAGTCTAAATCATGAAGAAATTTTAAAAAGCTGAATAGACCTATAGTAAAGGAGATTAATAAGTAATCAAAAGTCTCAAAAAAAAAAAAAATCTCCCCAA